AGCCAAACCATGGCCGAAAAACTACCGCCTGCATGCTGCGGGAACAAACCGCCTGGACCAGGTTCCTCCCTCCATGAAGCTACACCCACTGCGTGACCTCAGCTGGGACAACCCCTCATCCACTTTCTTCCACCCCTTGTCCCTCAGTGCAACCAAACTTGTGGCCACCAAAGTTCGCATAGGCCCTCTACCTACACTTACCACTCCTGCGGACATCCTGGAGGCACTACATGGCTCCCAGCTTCCCTCACCTGATGTGGACATTATCGACGACTACTCACGTTTGACTCCCCCTCACCGGCAGCCTTCCTCTGGAATACCTCAGGCCCACATGGGACTACCAGTCTCTACGTACGAAATATAGCCGTCCAGCTCCACGTACTCATGGGACGCACACGTACCACGGCGGCACTGCAATGTCCGGACTGTGGCCGCCTGGATCACCAGGGCAAACCATGCGATCGCTTCACCTACCTTGACCCCCGCGATCGGGCTCGCAGCAAATCGCGACATAAATCCACTCCCCGTGGCCCCAAGAGTCCGGGAGCACGTTCGCGCAGCCAGAGTGTCCACACTCGTGCCAATCCTGGCAATACCCCCCTCAACAACAACCGTTGCACCCATCAGCCCCGACTACGGACCTCGTCCCACACCTCCGACAGGAACTCTCCACATACGTGGACCACCGTATCGTCCAGGCCACAGCCCCACTCCAGGAGGAAGTTGATACCCTCCGCGCGGATAAGGAGGCCCTCACAGCCTTAGTATCTGCCACCAGTGCAGCCTTCACCACTCTCGATGCACGACTCCTTTAAGAACGCCGCCTCCGTGAGGCTACCGAACACCAACAATCCGAGGACCAACGCAAGTTGACGGAAGCGCAAAACCGCCTGCAAACCACCATCACCCAACAGGGCACCCACCAAGAGGCAATGGCCGAACGCCTCCCCATCATCGAATCCAGCCTACGCACACTTATACAGGCCATGCAGAGCGTCTCCTCCCAACTCGCTGGCCTCGCCGCCCTCGGCACCCCAGCGACCAGAATACCAGCCGCGTACCCCGCCCAGCCTACGCTAACGCCCTCTCCCTCCGCCCCGGATGGTCCCGTTCCACTGAACTAGCCAGCCGGACACGATGACTCCATGGGGACACACCCAAACGACACTATGGAGTCAAACTAACCCCGGGGTGTCGGGTCAGACCAACGACACCCCGGCAACGCCCCTGGTCTGTACTCTGGTGGTTCATGAGCTTCCTGCTATGGTCCACTTGCTCCGTACCCATGGCCGCTGCCACCCAACCGGACTCCAATTTTCTCTCTACACACCAACTGGCACACTCAGTGCAACCCCTACATGCTGCGTATCCTTTCGACTACCTACTTGACCCGCCCTCCTCAGACGACTCCAATAACTCTGAACAACTCGACCTCCGCATCGCGGACGACCTACACCAGCCCCCCCACGACCTCCCCCCCACCACTCCCACGCCACGGCGACGCCGCCGCCGCCGCTCCTGGCGGATCCAGCGTCTCCCCCCCCCGGACATGCACACAGCTCGCATCCAACGGGACAACGTCCTCCGGAGGGAAACCCCCCTGAAGGATGAGGCCTACATCGGAGACGCGGGCTCAACCCCGACCCTGGACATGCAGGTTGATATCCTGCGTATCGCAGCGACCAACATCAATAAAAACACGTATGGTAAATTGAGCGCCGAACTGGCCACGTGGTTCCGAGCCAATGCGCTCGCCTTCCTCATCATTGCCGACTCTGACTTACCAGCCCACAAGGCCACACAACTATGGACACCCGCACATGGGGGGACACACGCACCCAGCCTGATGGCTGTTAGCAACCACCGTGTTAGCCTACTCTACGACATACAACGCTGGCACTCCCGCA